TGATCCATAAGGTAGTGCTGAATCCTAGCTGGGGTGACAGACAATTCAACCCTGTTATTTGCATTGAGCTTCACGATTCAGTCTTTTTTTTAGGAAATTAATTTGTTTGTGCAAATTTTCTACCAAGTCTACTTGCTATTTTCCAAATGCACTTGCAAGGTCTTCTGACACACTCATATAGTTGAGTATGTAATGGTTTACAATTAGCACAGCATCTTGTGACTTCAAAACCCACACAGGCAAAAGTCAGTATTTAAGATTATAAATATTATTATTATGTTTACCTACTAAAATTATGTGGGTACTACCTGTCCATTCTTTTTTTCCATTTGTCTCATTGTTGTGAGACCACCAAAAAAGGGTTATTTATCCACTGTACTGACAGTATCTTCAAATATGTCACTTTTTTTCTTTAGCTTTGGTTATGTTTGTTTCTTTAGTGATAACCTGTGTTCCCACAAGCTGTGTTATACAGAGTACCTGTAAGCAAAGCAAGCCTAGCCTGGAACAATTTTTTTAAGATGTGATTTTATCTTAACATAGATAAAAGTGTGTTGCTGTAGACCAAGTCTGGTTACCAGGTCTGTTTTTAAAAGCACATGAATTTCCAGCTGTAACCATGGTGTGGATAAGGGGCTGGACTGAGCCCCTTATCAGGAATAAGACAGCTCCTGCCTTGAGCCCGATTTCCAGTTCCCACCTCTGCTCTCCCTCTCTTTATCATCCCCTTGCCCCAGGTGCTGGCTATGGCACTTCATAGCTGCTGGACAGAAGACAAATGGATACTTGTCAGCACTGACACAGGGTAATTCGTATCGACTGTTTTATTCCTCCAATCAAGCTCTGGGCTGGCTGAGGACAACCTTGGCTTTACAAATCTGGAAACAGGTGAAAGAGGGTTAGCAGAATTTGGTGATAAGACTTTATTTTCCTCCACAGTAGCCAAAGAGCAACTTTCCTTCAGTGCCCTCTTAATGTCTTTGAAATGTATGATAGATGCAAAGTGTTAATTTCACCTGTCATATGTGAATTAGGGAATGGATACCATGGCAGTGGGTACAATTACTGATGCCTGTTTGTAGTAGCTACCTGAAATTAGTCTGTCTGGCTCTCTCCCTTCTTTTCCTCAGTAACTTTAGTGCAGCACTCTCTGAAGCCTCATCATAGGTCCTTTTAATTGATGTGGCTTAAACATATAATTTTCTTTTCAGTAAGAGGAAAGTTAGCTCTCATTTCCTCATACAAATGCTATATTTATCATCATTTTAGCCAAGGGAAATTTAGACCAATGCATTTTCTTTTAAAGTACATCCCCAGACAATGAAGGATCTTAGAAACTAGCAAAAGAGACAAGCAGTCATCATGCCAAGTCAGTCAGAAATGCTGATGGAGTGAAATACAATTTGTTCTTAAAATTCAGAGCCATAAAGTCTCTTGAGACCTTAGATGTCTGAACCATCTGCCCTTTGGCACCTCTGCAGCAAGTGGTAAATCCATTGGTATCACGTATGAGACATCTGTTCTCAAGCCCTATTTATTCTTGGTTTGGGGAAATCTCTCTTTTGTTCACACTCCACAAGATTAATCCTAACTACTGGCCTTAAACTTGTCCTTTTAGTACCTCTGCAACCTATTTTGGAGGAATAATTATTCCTTATTTAGTTTGTTGGCTCACAGGAATCCTTTTCCAAGGCTTATCTCTCTCTGTGTCTGGGCACTTAGCCCAGGCTGTAGATTTCAAAGGCAGCAGGGTGCCAAGAGGTTAGACACTGTAATGTTGTGAATACCTTTGTGGTTCCAGCAATTCATCATTAGCTGAAAATTGATATCCTGTTATTTTTTTTGAGCAACAGTTGTATATGCCATATATAGATAGGGATGTATACAAAGTGTTTTGTGAGTGGGAGATAGCCTTCCCAATTAATTATAAATGTATCAACGAGGATGAAATGCAATTTATTTTGTTCTTGGTCGTACTTAACACATTCTTCAATGCAGAGATGCCAAGATACACAGTACAGTCATGACTGAACTTGCTGCTGCAATGATGGAATGATGTTTCTTCTACACTATTTTCACTGAAAATAGCCTTTTTAGATACTGCAGTTCCTCATTGCTTGATATCCATTTCACAAATATTGTAGATGGATGTACCTAGTTTATTATATACATGCATTTTGTAATATTTGCATTTGATTTTTATGTGGGTAGAATGATTTTCTTTTCCTTAAGGGCCATTGCATGAGTAGAAGTAGTTGAAAAATGCACTTACAAAATGTATGAGGTAAAAAATTGTTCCTTTATATCATTTTTAGGATGTGTTTTACTTTTTGTGCTGAATGACTTCGGGGACAGCTGAGAGTTTGGCATTTTTTTTGAGCATTTCTTTTTTTGACAGTGAATTGCTGATTGTTACATTTACAGGATTTCTGCTAAATATTTCTCTTACATTTCAGCTCCGGTACTTAAGAAAGAAAGTAAAGGACTTTGAAGTGTCTATCACTATAGCCTAATATCTGCTTAGATAATTGGTTTAAGATTTTCACAATAAAGTGTCCATTTTTCATTGCTGGATTTTCAAAAATACCTGGTAAATATAAGGATCATCTGCTATAAAGGCTTGTTATTGGCAAATTAGTTTTCCATCATGGGGAGACAGGATATTTGTAAAAATGTGAAGAAATTTGTTGCCATAAAAAGGTTCTATATTCCATTTCATAGCATATAAGAGTAAATTATTTATGTTATGTTGTTGTGCTATTTATGGATGGTAAGGACCTACATACAAACAACTTTTGTTAGAAATGGCAGGTATTCTGACTTGCAAATAATTTTTCTTGCATGTAAAGCATAGAAGAATTCAGGACAAGCCTGCACTATAGACTGAATTTCTCAATCAAATAAAATAATAATGAAATATCCCAATTCATTGATGCATAACTGAAAAGGTGATATGCTTGCCTGTGACTAAAACTGGGTGATGAAATTTGAGAGTTGTTGTTTTTACACTGGCAGTTGATAAACTCCATGCTTCATTTATGTCATATCCAAACTTGATTCAAGTTTAGGATTTGCCTTTTCAGAGAGCTACTGAAGTCGATGAGATTCTGTAAAGGCAGCACAAAATCTGGTAATGAATTCCCAGCATTTTAAAAATATTACATAGCATAGCATAGCATAGCATAACATAGAATAGAATAGAATAGAATAGAATAGAATAGAATAGAATAGAATAGAATAGAATAGAATAGAATAGAATATTTCAGTTGGAAGGGACCTATGATGGCCATGTAATCCCACTGCCTGACCAAATCAAGGCTGATCAAAAAGTTAAACCAGGTCTTAAAGTTCTTTGTCCTAGTGCGTCTTAATTACTGATGGATTTGGGACAATTTTGAACCATTCCTTCTCATTTTTTGAATAAAATAAGAAAAGTACCTTCAGACATACCTTTATTTTGTTTAATTTGCTTAAAGATTAAATACACTGGGCTTAAAAAAGCTTACACAAGGGACCTTGGTAACCCCTTCATGTTAATCTACACACCAAGGTTCACCTAGCTGGACCCATGTTTGTGTTCGAATCCTACCACTGAAGGTGTTCATCAACCTAATTTGTGAAGTACTTTGGAAAAACAGAATTCTAACATTTTGATAGGAGGAACAAGATGGATGAGAATGTTGGAAAGCCTCCCCATACGCAACACAGCCATCTAACTGTGACTTTAGTTGACTAACTGCATTTAATGCAAAGAAACATATGTGTCTCAAATGATCTTATACATCAGAAGATAAATACCAGCATTCATTAAAAATAGAGTACCTCTTTTAAAACTCATTAAAAATAGAACATCTCTTTTAAAACACATTCTTATTCACACTGAAAACAATCTTCAGTGTAGAAGTATTTAGATATAGGGGTACAAAATGTACAATTTACTTGCTTTTGTCTAGTAACTTGTTACTTTTGGTCAGAGCTAAATATTTTCTCATTTTCTTAATTTTCTGGGTTTATTAGTGATTAGATTCCCCCCCAAATAGGCTGTTATAGTTGGAATAACAAAATTCAAGAACAACCATTGCTGGGTGTTCGATGTAGTAATGAGAATCAGGCAATAGTTCTTAGAGAAAAAATAATTAAAATAAGTAAATCAGCAACCAATCAGAAAAATCACCTATGGTATTGGAAACTGGTAGCAATATGGACTCAGTGATTCATCAAACAGGCTTAAGAAATTTTTCTCTTGCATGCTGAAACGCAGATAACGCAGTGTTGTAATTGGAGAGTAGAGATTCCCCTGAACTGGTCTGTGAAAGATATAAAGAATCACTAAGTTTTTGTAGAAATCAACCCTTTTTACTTGACAGGTAAAATTCAAAGACTTCAATCAGCACCCTCTGTCAGGAAGAAACATAATCTCTGAGTTTGTGTTAATTTGCTGATTAGTAATTTAGAATATTCAGTGACAGCTTCTTAAATAATTAAGGCAACTCATTTAAGAATATCATAATAACAGTGAAAAGTGATCTGTATATATTCTCTGCTACATACTCTCTGCTGACAAAGCAGAGGTGTGTGACAGTACCTGATACCAAAGAGCCACATCATGAACACAAGGTGGCTGTAAAACTGTGGATCCATGGCTAATGCAGTGCTGTGGCAAGTCTGGGTTCTCACTTGCCAGGGATTACGTAGGTCTGGGGAACTCGGTCCAGCTGAGCCGATGTGGTGCTTGACAACAGGGCTCAGAATGTTGTTGAAAAAAGTACCTAAAATATAAAGTAGCAGGTAATTAATTGTCTTACACTCTTTAATGCAGCATGAAGTGTGTGAGCCTGTACAAAACATTTTGAAACACATAGATAATGTTACTTTTGACTGAGCTGTTGTATCTCAGATTAGCACCTCGCTTTGTCTGCTTGCTGGTTAGCTAAGAATTTTTTGAAGTGTACATATTAACTGTGTTAAAATTCTTTTTTTATCCTTTTAATTTTTCCTAGGAGGTGTTTGCATTGCTCAGTCACTCAAAATCCCTCGGGAACCAAGACCAGGAGAATTTGAAAAGATCATTAAGCGCTTGTTGGAAACTCCAAATGCTCGAGCGGTGATCATGTTCGCGAACGAAGATGATATTAGGTGCCCGTTTCCTAATTTTGTGTTTTGAAGATGTTCCTCTTCACAAAGTTGCTTGGTTGGCTGGTAGAAAATAGACTAAAAAAAAGTTTCAGATTCAATACTATGTAAAAATTCTTGAAAATCTGATGATAAGAAATGGAGTTGTAATTATAGAGTGAGCTGGTCCTTTATTCTGTGTAGTTCCAGACTTCTCCTACCTCCTAGGAGTGCAGTGCCAATAGATAGTTATTTTGTTATTTGGCAACTGAAAAGGAAGAAACCAATAAGAATGCTAGAAAAACATGGCTAAAGATTAAACAAATTGTGTATTACTGTATCTTGAGTTCATTACAGCTGTTGTTGAGTATGCCTTAGACTGTGAAAATAATAGATTATTTAATTACTGTAAGCCTATGCATAGCCAGAATAAATGCTGGGTTTCTCAAGTTCTCATATGGAACTTGTTTAATTGGTCATTTGTTTGTTTGCAGGAGAGTACTGGAAGCAGCCAAAAAAGCGAATCAGTCTGGACATTTCCTCTGGATTGGCTCAGACAGCTGGGGGTCAAAAATTTCACCAGTCCAGCAGCAGGAGGAGATTGCTGAAGGAGCAGTAACCATTCTACCCAAAAGAACATCCATAGATGGTAAGAGGAATGTGGCACAAACCTTTCATTTTCTGTCAAAGTTCAAGTACTTTAGATATTTTTAAAAATAATCTAAAAATCATGTTGTCATTGATTACAGGGAATTCAGGAAAATCTTTCCAAGCAAGTTACCTGAGTTTGCCTGATACGACAATAATTTAATATATCTGTTGAGATGAGGAGATGCAGAATCTGCAATTAGGCAGTCTTGTAATTGTCTAATAATGGTGATACTTGGAGTTGAGAGCTTCTTAACCATAGCTTAGTCATTCTTTGGGACAAATAAGGAGAGTATTGTACGAATGATAATGAATCAGATTATTCTCTGGGGAGGAGATTGATCTGTGCCCCGCTTTCCACTCCTAAACTTTAAGAAGTTACCGTATTAAGAAAGATTCTCACTTGGTGGATGAAGTAGAAATTGGTTTGCAGTACCTTATTCCTGTGAGGGTACTGGATATAGTAACGTTTATACTGATCTGGCTAAGTGTGCTAAACTGGTAATTGGTTAGGAAAAATGAACACTATTGATATTACATAGAGAATTTAGCCACAGGGAAATATTTATAAGGAGCTAATCCAGATGGGATACGTTATTCATAATTTCATTATGACAGCTTTGTGTGGGTAAGGCTGGTGATCACCAGGTTTAAGTAAGAATCTTTAGTTTCTCAACTTGTGTCATTAACTATATAAATAGAAGCAGAATTATAGGTGTCCTGGATGTCCTCTTGTTCAACAGAGCTACCCCATGATTTTATATGGCCTTGAAATGAAGTATAATCCTTAGATGTGACTGTGCTCATAAAATAGTTTGTATCTAAAGCTTTTTCTTTAGATACATAAAAAAATATGTTATTGTCTTTAAATTTATATTTTTATGTATCATATTTTAACGCTTCTTTCATTTTTCTTCAATGTAGGATTTGATAGATATTTTCGGAGCAGAACACTTGCTAACAATCGAAGAAATGTCTGGTTTGCAGAATTTTGGGAGGAGAATTTTGGATGCAAGTTAGGATCACATGGAAAAAGAAATAGCAATATCAAGAAATGCACAGGTAACTGTGAAAGTAAAACATTATCTGTAAATTGTTTATAGGAGTGACAGAAAGGAGCTGCTTTCTTTTCATCACTTTTCTGTCTCCCTTCAATTCTCCAATGCATATTGCTGAGTTGTAAGAAAAATGTGACATTTTTTAACCTGAAGAAAAAATTAATGGACAATGTATGAGAAATTTAGTAGTTAATATGCACAAATACAATGATGGTGCAGATTTTATTAAAGACCAGTGCAAGTGGTTCAATTCCATTTATGTTTTCAATGACCTCCTCTATCACGCTATGTGTAGCTGTCAATATGATTTTTTTTTAGCAAGTGTGTGCATCATGGTAATTTTCATATTGTTTACCCTAAAGTATTTACAGTGAAAATTACATTTATGTTTAAACTATTGAGGTCTTGATGATAGGTCAAGTCTTGAACTCCTTATTTAGTTTACAAGCTGTGTTTGAGGATGAAAGTAAAAGCAAATCAATATGTTCTTATTACTTGTCCCCATGTGCAAAAGAAGGATCCTGTATCATACTATAAAGCTGAAAGGCTCTAAAAAGTTTGAGCAAAAACTTGAAGTAATTGTCACTAGTTTTTGTAAACGTGCTTGCTCAGGCATCATGCCCAGATGCAATTGTCATGACACCTAATAGAGCAGACACATCAGCAGCTGGCTTTGATCTTCTCTATGCGATGTTGCTTTCTTGGTGTTACTTGAAAAGTTTATAATGAGAGTGTTACTTTCTGTGGCTACAGCAGATTGATTATGTTACTTTTTGTGTAGACTTTTTTACCTAATATCAGGGCTCCTTGTGTCATTTCCTTAATTACTGCCGCCACTCCCAGCATTGCTGGCTGTGACCATCATCTCTGAGTAGTGCCAGCAGCACTACACAATTTTTTTGCACTACGTACATAAGTTGTCTGTGATGTGCCTTGATTTTCCTGGCAGTCTCTTCTTTCACCAAAAAATATTTTCCCCATGGAACATTAACTTTTTTTTTTTTTCACTTGCTGTCCCAAGATTTCTGGCTGCTTGCTGACACTTTCATGTAGCCTTTGTTATAGGGGTGCCCTTCCAAGCTTTCTGCATGCCAGCACCCCACTTCTTTTGGGCTTGTCACACAGAAGCACTTTGAAGTCTCCAAGAACATGGATTCCTGCACTTTCTGTAGCATCAGATTTATTGTGCCAGCAATTCAAACACTTACTGCACTGAGCTTCACAAGATAGAGATACAACTCACACAGAAATATCAGAGCCATGCATTCCCTCTGTCATTTCAGCAAAGCCTTGCCTTCTGCCTTTTACCACATATTTCACAAAAAAATGGGTAATATTCAGTTCCTCACTGAGCTAAATGATAGCTCATTACTCTAATCCTTTACTCCTTGACCTTGATTCATATAGCAGTAAATCACAGCTGGATAGTTGCCCACATGTGGAAAGGGATTATTTTGTTATTGCTATTTTAAGTGGATAATAGGTCAGTTTTTAAAGTTCTTCAGGTGGAATGACTGGTGTATGTGTTGTGGTTTAGGAAGCTCTAAATGGTACCACAGATGGTTGTATGACTTATCTCAGCCTCATCTGTCAAATTGAATTACCAAAAGTAGTGTGTGAAATGCATAGGCTGTATCTTGATCCAAAATAATTTCTAATTTGAAACAGATATCTTTTTATTTTATGGAAAAAAAATTCCTGTATTTTCTTTGAACCTGAAAATAGAAATAAAATATATTTCTTGTGCCCAGAAAGTTAACATGGTGCTAAGTGATGGGACAAAGACATGGGAGGTCACATATGACAGTTGCATGTGCATTTTAATCAGCAGGGAAAAAACAATGAATTATTCTGCAAAGTGCCTATGAGTAATAGGATTCTTGACTAAAACCATTTAAAAGTGGCTTGCCACAATAGAAGTTGTCCTCACTCAAACAGAAGCAGATCTGACACAAAGTGGCAATTCATAATGATCCTTATGCTTATCTGACTCAAATTTAAAGTGTTGAATAACAAAGGTACCCAAAATATGGTAATTTTAAGTATACTGAATCAAGAGGTGGTGGTGGTGGTGGTAGTAAGTTCAAAATAAACCTCCTGTGATTTAAGAAATATTGTAGGTAGAGAATGGGGGAATGACCTCCAGCCCAATTTAGACTCAGAATTGCAAATTCTCCTGGCACATTTTTTTTGTCAGGGCCTCTCATGCACTAAAGAGAGGCAACAATGAAATCCTGGCTGGTTCTTCATATCACAGCCCTCAAAATAGTTGTGTGTGTACTATGATCTTCTATGTCTGCTAAAAATTAAAGAGCGTCCTACCCATGAATTTATCTTTTCCTTGAGAGGCCAAAGGCATTCCTCATGGCCATGTCTGCTCTGAAGTAATGGTGTTAAGTGAAAAAAATTAATGAATCCCCAAATTTTAATAAGAATATAAGAGCTGTTATAACTTTTTATTGAAAACCTTGAACTTCTTATGGCCTTTCCCCATTGCCATTTTTCCTTGCAGTGGGCTTTCTCTGATATTTTGTGTGTAGCATCTCAGTCCTGATTTTCAGCTCAGCTCTTTAAAGGCATGTGCAGGTGGCCAAGCATAGGAACAGGTTGCCCACAGAGGTTGTGGAGTCTCCCTCAGTGGAGATATTCAATAACTGTCTGGATGCAGTTCTGTGCCACGTGCTCTGGGATGACCCTGCTTGAGCAGGGAGGTTGGACCAGATACCCACTGGGGTCCCCTCCAACCTGACCCATTCTGGGATTCTGTGCTTCTGTATTCCCATCTCTAGTTCAGAACTTGAAGACTAAATGTAAAAACATAATTTATTCTAATTTTCCTGTATTTTATCTGTGCACTGCAGAAAATAAGATTCCCTTTGTGTTTTGCCCATGAGTTCAATTTGTAAGTCATGTCGCTGTCTCTATAAGAGTTGAAGATGTGTCTGGATGTGGCACTTTGGGATATGGTTTATGGGTGATTATGGTGGTACCAGGTTGACAGTTGGTCTCGATGATGCTGAAGGTCTCTTCCAACCTTGATGATTCTGTGATTCTGTGGTGTTGTGATGTCAGTAGGCAGTAGTACTCTGAAAGAAATCCAAAAGCTCAAAATACAGGCACATTCTGAAAATCTCTCTCTCCAATGATATCAAAAGGCAAAGTGATAGGTATAAAGTTTTCTCAGGCTTGAGATGTATTTATTATGCCTTTCTGTTTATCTTACTTAGGAGGTACTTGACTCTTTTTCTCATATAACATTTTTAATTCCCAACAACAAAACTGATATCCCTGTTCCCTATTTAGTCAAGTTATTCAAAGCTATAAATTTTTGCTGCCTGCAATGAGGATGCTACTGGTCTAATCCAATTTCAAGCATTTTTTTCCCTATGAAGATACTAGAAAATGCTTAATAGTGAGAAACCTTTCTCTCTTTTATTTTCCATGTAAAATCAAGAGTCTTTTAAGCACTGGAAGTATGAAAGGAATTTATCTTCCTTTAAGGTTAAGAATTACACAGGGGCATAAGCCTTCTTACCTTTTCTTTTCTTATACATTACTGACTATTGCAGTCTAGCATTGTAATAACTTGAACAGTTTATTTGAATTTTGAAATCCTGTTTATTTGTGGTTGCTGTTTCTTCTTATTCCTATAAGAATTTGTGCTCTGGAGATAAGTAAAGCAATAAGTTTCTTTTGAATTTTCCCATTTGTTTCTTTTCTGATTTTTGCCATGTTACAGAAAGCAATGATTCACCTAAGCTTTGAAAAAGTAATTTTTTTGCCACTATTGATTTGAAGCTAGCTCTCTGTGTTTCTGAATGTGAGTGTACATTGATCAAATCCTTAATATCAGAATAGTTCATTGCAAAAATATTAGGGATTTCTTGTTCTGACTTTTCTGGAATTAAAAAATATCAAATTGGTCATTAACTTAGTAAGCATGAAACAATAATTCAATGACCACCCTTTAACTATTTTACTTGGGAAAGAAGAAAGGTCTTTGCAGAGGAAACTCATTCATCTTACTACAACAAAATGGAAAAGAAAGGAGCACCAAGATTAAACCGTATGTAGAGGTTACAAGAAGCTTTACTTTACATATTTATTCAAGGTGTAGGTTTTCTATATTCACTGGAAACGTTTTTAGTGAGACATGATCCTTTCAGGGGTCTTCAGTAATCTTTCTCTAGCTGGGTTCTCTGTGGGGAGGAGAAGTGAGGAGATGGAAAGGTTTTCACTCATCCCTGTGCCCCAGCAGAAAAATGTAAAGGCAGAGAGAGTATTCTTTCATCCTTTGATTCCTGTTGATTCTTCAAGAGAAAGTGCTTGCCTGGTGGTTTCATGAGATGGCAGAGACTCTAGCCTCTTGCTCTACTTTAAATTTAACATCCTCATATGTAATTTTTCCATACCCTCAGCTTCCCAGGTGACTCTACCAGGGGGCCAGTTTTGGTAGTTGAAGATTTAGCATTACTTGGAAATAATGAGGACTGACCAGACTCGTTGTTCGCTTTGACTCTTGGTTGTTGAGCTATTACTTGTCAGTCCCATATAATGGAAATGTCTAGATTTTGTCTTTCTTAAGAAGGCTACAAAAGAATGAATACAATTATTTAAAAGGCAAAGATACTGCAGAATACTCTTTTAATAATTGCATTGAATAGAGACAACATACAACATCACTTTTTCTGAAAAGTAAAAAGTAATAATAAAAGAAAGCACCATTAATGATGAAGTTCAAAGAGAGAATAGTGGGAATTAAATGAAATCTATTTAGATTTTCTCTTATTAACCTCATAGACTGCTAATATTTGATTTCAAGCTAACAAAAATTTCAGAAGTCCTCTTTTTGTATTTGTATGTATTTGTGTGTGCTTATACAAGCAGATATGTGTTTGTGTTTGTATGCTTAAGCAGATAGAAATGTAACATGAAAGTCACTTACTATATCATGTTTTAATAGGAAAAAACACAGATTCAGCTTCAAATCTGACAAAAGAAGTC